TGAACCAGAAGGAGAACATAAATGTACTGGTGGGTGCTCCTCCCCTTCCCGCTCCCAGTGCTCCCCTTCCCACTCCCAGTGCACCTCGTTCCGTTCCCAGTTCTTGGGCAGAGGAGACGGCAGGGCTCAGTGCTGAGGTGTGGAGGCTGTTGAGGAGGATGAGGATTGTCAGGGCTGGGGTTTTAAGACATGGATTTCTGGATTCTGCTCCTGGCTTTGCCTCCATTTGCTGCTCAGTTTGTCCCATTGTCTTGGTCTTTCCATTTGTAAACTGGGGTGTGTGGAAGAGCCAGGGCTCCCATCCCTGGGGATGGCAGGAGCCTCCTGAGCTCTCAGCCATGCAGAGTGTTCCTGAGAGGCCACGGGGTGTGTGGGAGGACATTCCATGGAGGCTTTGCTGCCTTCCCTGTCCACCTTTTCTCCTTTGGAATGGCGACCCCAGGTAGTTTGGTGCTAGTGCAGCAGGGCTGGCTCGAGAGCAGGTTGTTCCCCAGAGGGGTAGGAGGGTCTGAGCTGCCCAGCAGAGCTGGGATCACCCCTCCAGGGGCAGGAGGGGTTTCCACTGTGCTCCCCAAAGCCAGAGGGTGGTTCTGATGCATTCCAGAACAGGTGGGGAGGTGGGGAGAGGTGGCTGCTGTTCGGACACATCCCTGAGGCCCTGGGTGAGCCGCCCTGGGTGGCCCCAGTCTGGGAGTGACAAGAGTGTCCTGTCCTCTTGTGGGGACCAGGCTCCAATGAGGCAGGAGGGTGAAACCTGCCGGTGAGCACCCCCACCCGCTGTACCCATGTGCCTGCCCTGGCACTGCTGCTGAGCTCCCTGTGTCCCCAGGGCCAGCAATTCCTGCACTCTCAGCCCAAAAGTTGGGCTCAGCTGAGAGCTCCAGGCAGGAGCAGCCTGTCCTGCTTCTCCTCCAGCTCTGCTCTGAGCTGTGGCACTAACCAGGGCTCTGGTCCGTGCTGCTCCCGGGTTTTTGGCGCGTCGCTGTTGGCTCCGCTGAGCCCTGGGTCCGGCTCTTATCCCAGCCCGCGGGGCCCTGCTCACCCTGACCCTCATGGGGCTGAACCTGGAGGTCAGGGGCAGGGCTGGCTGGTGTCTTGGGAAGGTGCCAATAAGCCCCAATCCCACAGAAGGAACGTGGGGATCTTTTTCTGTGGCTGGTTCAGTCGGGTCTGACAGCTCCTGGTCCTCTTGTGCTGGCACTGGGGGTTGTTTTGCTCTCGCGCAGCTGCTGAAGGAATAAACCCACAGTTGTTAACACTTAATTTCCTTTTTGTGTGCAGGTTTAGAAATGTTGTTGCTTGTTCAGTGACCTCCCAGCTGGGTTTCACTTTCACATCCCCCTGCCTGGTTGTGCTAGCACGAGTTGTTACCAAAAAATAAAACCCCCACCACTTTCCAGACAGATTTTAACTGATTGAAAAAGCAATTACATTTTTTTGCCCCACCTCAAACACAAAATCTGGGTCTCGAAACATGTTGTGCTCCTCTGGCTTTCTGCTTGTTTGCTTGGTGGTGTTGGTACGTGGCATTCCCTGAGGAAAGCGGGAGCCGGGAGGCAGAGGATTCCCAGGGCCCAGCCCTGAGCACACACACAAGGTGTTTTTTCTTTGGCTCACGCAGTCGAGGATCAGTGAGGGGCTTCGGCCCCTTCCTGGCCTCAGGGGCTGGGGCAGCTCTCGGAGCTCTCTGCAGTTCCAGGAGGTTCTGTTGGCTGAGAGGACAGGGCTGGGCACGGCCAGGCTCTCTTCTCCATCTCCTCTGCTCCAGCACCCCAGGAGCTCTGAGGGGGCTGTGCAGCTGCAGCACTGCCGGAGGGTGCTGGGATCAGGCAGTTTTCTCCCATTCCCACATCCCAAGGTGCTGCACAAGCTGCTGGGGGTGTTGGGGCAGACTGGAGCAAGGAGGAGGGGGTTGTGCTGGGAGGGACCTGCCTGTCTCATGGCCCATTTGTGTCCCCTGCTCAGGACCAAGAGCGCCGAACGCCGCTGCACGCTGCTGCCTACGTAGGAGATGTCGCAATCCTGGAGCTCCTCATCCTGTCAGGTAAGGGCCAGGGCTCAGGGCACTGGGCTCAGGTCCTGGTGCTGCCCTCGAGTGTCTCTCTGACCTCCCCTGGCCTGAGGGCTGCAGAGCAATAGTTTTTGGTCGCCTTCCAAGCAGCCATGTGCTCCTGCTTCAGCCAGGGGGAGATTAGGAAATGTTGCCATAATCCTGAGAGGGTTGTTCAGGCAGAGAATTGTCTTGGAACTGAAATAGCTGAGGTGGAAACCAAGCCAGGAAGGGGATGAGGACTGGGTGGTGCGTGAGGGGGCAGAGGTTGCACATCTTGGAGACCCCCCCCAACAGCAGGATGCTCAGGAGAGCAGAGCTAAAAACCAGAATTTTGCTCAGTTTGGGCTTGTGTTCCTTGGTGTGAAGCTGCCCTTCATGTCCCCCCAGAGCCTCAGCCCTGCCCTTAGTCCCACCTGGTGCGGACAGGGGAGTCTCCTCATCCAGCTGCTGGTGGGGTGGGGGAACCCCAGGGCTGGTGAGATCCCACCTTATCCCCACGGGGAGAGATTGGGAGAAATCCTGTGCTTGGGGCTTGTTTAGCAGTATTGTGGCTGTTCAGCTCCATCTGCAGAGCACAGGATGCTCTTACCTGCCTTGGGGTGGGTTTTCCCTGTCTGTGTGTTGAGTTCTGGGCTGGAGAGTGGAGCAGAGAGGGACAGGGGCTTCGGGGGGCATGGCACGTTAGTGCCCAGCATGGCTGTGGGGCTGGGATGGCAGCAATCTGTCATCTGGCTGTTCTAGCATGGAGGTGCAGCCCACAGCAGCTGCAGCCCCCAACATCAAATGCTCTGGGTGTTGTCTCAGATGGCCTTGTTCTCAAGCAGGGAGCAGGGCTGCTCGCTGGGTCTGTTGTGGCTTCTGGCTGAGCAGGTGAAGTCTCAGCCTGGCAGAGGTGCAGCCTCCCCAGGGCTCATTCCTCTGCAGCCCACGGGGTCTGTCCCACCCAGAGCTCCCTGCAGTGGCCACTCCTGCCCAGCAGGTGCCTCAGAGGTGGCTGCAGGCCACCAGTCTGTCACCTGTGTCCCCTGACCCCCCTGTATCCCCCAGGTGCTAATGTGAATGCAAAGGACACTGTCTGGCTCACTCCCTTACACCGCGCTGCGGCTTCTCGCAACGAGGTAGGTTCCCTCTGGCCCTGCCTGCTCCTGGCATGGGGTGTGGGCACTGATGGGACCTTCTCCTCCTCTTTTCCATCTTGCCTGGGTTTGACTGAGGTGGGTGGGCTTGTTAGAATGGAGATGGATGCATGTTGCATGTTTCAGGGGCTGAACATGAGAGCTGGAAAACAATCTCCTTAGTTCCCTTCCCTCCGTCCTTCAGGAGTTGGCAGTTGGGTTTTCCCCACAAAATCCTCCCCCCCGTTCCCCCAGGGCTTTGTCTAATCCAGCTTTAATTTCTTTGAGGGATAATGGGGCTCTTGCCCTTTCTCTTGGGAGCTGATTCTGACGGATCTTGCTGGAAAGATTTCCTGACGTTTGGCTTTTGTGGGCTTAACTTCATCCCACTTAACTTTGCCCGGTTTTGAGTTGCTGGAGAGCAAGGAGCTCTGTGGTCACGCTGGTTGGAGCCAGGGCCTCTGGAGCCCTGGGGCTGCCACAGTGCTTTGCCCAGCCCTTCAGAGCTGTGGGCTGTGGTGGCTGGAGGGGAAGGGGCAGCCTGTGCAGCGCGAGGTGGGGGGTTGCAGCAAACAGCCCCGACCAGCAGAA